TCCCGATATTTTGGGGTCCCCCCGGGGGTCTCTGTGGATTTTGGGGTCCCCTGGGTGTTTTTGGGGTTCCTGTGGTTTTGGGGTCTCTGTCGGTTTTATTGTCTCTGTACATTTTGGGGTCCCCCCGATATTTTGGGGTCCCCCTGAGTTTTGGGGTCCCCCAGGATATTTTGGGGTCCCCAATGGGTTTGGGGTCCCCCCGGGAGTCTCTGTGGGTTTTGGGGTCCCCTGGGTGTTTTTGGGGTCCCTGCGGTTTTGGGGTTTGTGGGTTTTATTATCTCTGTACATTTTTGGGATCCCGGACATTTTTGGGGTCCCGGATTTTTGGGGTCCCCCCGATATTTTGGGGTCCCCTTTGGGTTTTGGGGTCCCCCCGGTTCCGGGGTCACCCCGGGGGTCTCTGGGGGATTTGGGGTCTCTGTGGGTTTTGGGGTCCCGGGTGTTTTGGGGTCCCCCCGATATTTTGGGGTCCCCTTTGGGATTTTTGGGGTCCCCCCCGGGGGTCTCTGTGGGATTTGGGGTCTCTGTGGGTTTTCTGGGTTTTATTATCTCTGTACATTTTTGGGATCCCGGACATTTTTGGGGTCCCGGATTTTTGGGGTCCCCCCGGGATATTTTGGGGTTCCCCCGGGGGTGGGGTCTCTGCGGAATTTGGGGTCTCTGTGGGTTTTGTGGGTTTTATTGTCTCTGTACATTTTGGGGTCCCCCCGATATTTTGGGGTCCCCAATGGGATTTGGGGTCCCCCCGGGGGTCTCTGTGGGATTTGGGGTCCCCTGGGTGTTTTTGGGGTCTCTGTGCATTTTGGGGTTCCGGATATTTGGGGGTCCCCCTGAGTTCTGGGGTCCTCTTTGGTTTTTGGGGTCCCCCCGGGGGTCTCTGTGGGATTTGGGGGTCCCCTGGCTGTTTTTGGGGTCCCCTTTGGGTTTTGGGGTCCCCCCGGGGGTCTCTGCAGGATTTGGGGTCTCTGTGGATTTTGTCGGTTTTATTGTCTCTGTACATTTTGGGGTCCCGGACATTTTTGGGGTCCCCCCGATATTTTGGGGTCCTCCCGGAGTTTTGGGGTCCTCCCCGGGATATTTTGGGGTCCCCCCGGGGGTCTCTGTGGGATTTGGGGTCACCCCGGGTTTGGGGTCTCTGTGGGTTTTGTGGGTTTTATTTTCTCTGTACATTTTGAAATCCCGGACATTTTTGGGGTCCCGGATTTTTGGGGTCCCCCCGATATTTTGGGGTCCCCCCCGGGATATTTTGGGGTCCCCCGGGGGTCTCTGTGGATTTTGGGGTCCTCTGGGTGGTTTTGGGGTTCCTGTGGTTTTGGGGTCTCTGTCGGTTTTATTGTCTCTGTACATTTTGGGGTCCCCCCGATATTTTGGGGTCCCCCCTGAGTTTTGGGGTCCCCAATGGGATTTGAGGTCTCCCCGGGGGTCTCTGTGAGATTTGGGGTCTCTGTGGGTTTTGTGGGTTTTATTATCTCTGTACATTTTTGGGGTCCCAGATTTTTGGGGTCCCCCCGATATTTTGGGGTCCTCCCGGAGTTTTGGGGTCCCCCCGGTTTTGGGGTCACCCCGGGGGTCTCGGTGGGATTTGGGGTCCCCTGGGTGCTTTTGGGGTCTCTGTGGGTTTGTGGGTTTTATTATCTCTGTACATTTTGGGATCCCGGACATTTTTGGGGTCCCCCCAGGATATTTTGGGGTCCCCCGGGGTTTTGGGGTCCCCCCGATATTTTGGGGTCCCTCCGATGTTTTGGGGTCCCCCCGGGGGTCTCTGTGGGATTTGGGGTCCCCTGGGTGTTTTTGGGGTCCCTGTGGTTTTGGGGTTTGTGAGTTTTATTATCTCTGTACATTTTGGGGTCCCGGACATTTTTGGGGTCCCCCCGATATTTTGGGGTCCTCCCGGAGTTTTGGGGTCCCCCCCGGGATATTTTGGGGTCCCCCCGCGGCTCTCTGTGGGTTTTGGGGTCCCCTGGGTGTTTTTGGGGTCTCTGTGGGTTTTGTCGGTTTTATTGTCTCTGTACATTTTTGGGGTCCCGGATTTTTGGGGTCCCCCCGATATTTTGGTGTCCCCCTGAGTTTTGGGGTCCCCCCTAAGTTTTGGGGTCCCCCCGGGGGTCTCTGTGGGATTTGGGGTCTCTGTGGGGTTTGTGGGTTTTATTGTCTCTGTACATTTTGGGATCCCGGATATTTTTGGGGTCCCCCCCGGGATATTTTGGGGTCCCCCCGGGGGTCTCTGCAGGATTTGGGGTCTCTGTGGGTTTTGTGGGTTTTATTGTCTCTGTACATTTTGGGATCCCGGACATTTTTGGGGTCCCGGATTTCTGGGGTCCCCCCGGGATATTTCGGGGTCCCCCCGGTTTTGGGGTCACCCCGGGGGTCTCTGGGGGACGCACCCCCCCAGCTCCAGCGCCTCCGGCCACCCCTCGTATTTGTTGGAGCCGCGGCTGTTCCGGACGTGCTGCGGGAATTGGGGGCATTTTGGGGATTTTGGGGTTTTGGGATCATTTTGGGGGAATTTTGGGATTTTGGGGTTTTGGGATCGTTTTGGGGTTATGGGGTCGTTCTAAGGTTTGGGGTCATTTTGGGGTCCCTTTGGGATTTTGGGGTCATTTTGCGATTTTGGGGTTATGGAGTGGGTTTGTGGTTTTGGGGTCCTTTTGAGTTTTGGGGTCATTTTGCAGTTTTGGGTCATTTTGGGGTTCTTTTGGGATTTTGGGGTCTTTTGGGGATTTTGGGCCATTTTGGAGTCGTTATGAGGGTTTGGGATTACGGGCACAGTTTAGAATTTTGGGGTCATTTTTGGGTTTTAAGGTCTTTTTGGGGTTTTGGGGTCATTTTGGGGTTTTGGGGGAATTTTGGGGATTTTGGGGTTTTGGGGGAATTTTGGGATTTTGGGGATATTGGGGATTTTGGGAGGAATTTGGGGATT